CCAGTGAAATATATTTATGTTTGTGGTTGTAATGTGACAAAATATGGAAAAGTTCAAGGGGTATGAATACTTTTGCAAACCACTGTATGTCAAGCTGCCATCTTCCATAGTATACCACATCCAGAGTCTGTCCCATCCCCCTCTGCACTGCTGCATTCCCTCTTATAGCTGTACCATCATTTGTTCACCAACCAACCGTTTCACTCTTGAGTTTTATGTTTTTGATGTGCTTACATGCAGGCCAGAGCTGGGCGACCTGGTAAATGTAAACACGATGCATGTGGTGTGACGTGGGAGGCGGCTTTCTTTGAGCGCCAGGCGAGCTTGTTTTGCCTGTGAGGGTCCGATGAGTGCTGTTTTTATTCACCACTTCCTAGCCTTTATCTCCGAAGAGCCTCGGCACGACTCTGAACACAAGTCAGAGCGGAGAGCTTCCTCTTCTGTCTGACAGTGACACATGTTCTTGCCGAAGTCAGGGATTCGGTCTGCTCTTAGCAGACTTGGCTGGAGCTTAAAATAACCTCCAGTTTGGTTTAACCCTTTGGTGTCTGTGACGCTGCTAATGGGATCCACTTTCAATCAGGACTGAGTGAGACGCAAGCTGCTGCCACAGTTCTGACCTTTTGCACCCACTGTTTGTCAAGCACTCGRTTACGGTTTTCCTGTTTTGGTTTTTCAGCTTCGTTGTGCTCATGTTTATGTCCTTATTTGTACTTTGGTTTTATTTGTTGCTCTCATAAAAATAAAGTATCGTGGGGTTGTTATTGTATATTTGTATCAGTTGAGACTTTCTCCACTCTGACAATTTTCTGTGACACATGCTTTTAACAAATCAAATGAAGCATTTAAGACTTTTAGTTTGTATTCAAATGGTTATTCAAATGATTACAAAAGCTTAAAAATGACCACAGATAACTGAACCACAAATAAAGCGAGACATTCAAAATGCATCACAAACGGAGCCAGTTTTGGTGGCAGCGTGCACTGATTAAAGTCCAGCGGATTATTAAAGTCTGAGAGATTGAAAGAGACTGGCAGCAGCAGCCAAATCAAGRCTATATGAATGCTTTACATTCAGAGTGGGGTTTTAATTCATTTTGCTGCATGTGACCTTATCAGTGGTCATTACAGTTGAGCGTCCAGGACTAAAGGTCAGAAGCAAATTGTGATTTTTCTTTACAGATTTGAATCGTTTCATATAATTTCTATCTGCAGTCCACAGTTTGTTCTGTGACCACTTAGATTTTTGCTTTTCTTTGCAGAGTATGTGATAACACACTGGATCATGGATGATTACCAGCTTCCTGAGAAGCTTCAATGTGACTAAATGATCTTTTCCCCTCTCTTCACATTTAGGGTTTTGTGTTTGTTTCTATTTGYCATGAGCCCATTTTCCTTAACAGTCCTCCAGCATTGARAGCAAACATGAAGTCACCATCCTCAGCGGGCTCAATGAATTTGTAGTGAAGTTTTATGGACCACAAGGAAGTGAGTATTTCTGCTTTTTGATACGACCAAGAAGGTTTTATTAGTCTAAAATGTGGTTCTTTTAACCTTCTTCCTTTGGTAAGTCCTATCTTAAAGGCAGCCATTTCAGTAATTTCAGTCATTTTATTGTATGGAAATATGGAAAAACTTCTTCATAGCTGGCTAAGAAAGAAAAAAAAAAGACTGAAACCAGGCCTGAGGTTAAGATGTAAAACGAAGAAGAGTCACAGCCTCATCAGCAGGAAGTACTATTTTTCTACGCAGTTTGCATCATTTGTCGAAGCAAAACCACTGCCAAGCTCCGACAAAAGAGGAAGAAGGTGTTTGATTTTGTTTATGGTGCATTGAAGCTGTCAAACGAGGTGGTACTGCCGTACGCACCGCYGCTCGCTCTCAGTCCACGAGGGTCTTGTTACAGCTATTCTGGGAGAGCAGCACACTCACTGAACCTCGGTCGCTTCCTCTTTGATGTCAGTAAATTATCTGAAGGCATTTGAAGGTAAAGAATTCTCCAGGGCTAGAGAACATTACTGCATAAAATGACGGAGCAGCGAGGCACGCAGCTCCGCTGTGGTGAAGGGAATTTATATAACTCTAACTCCACCGGAGTGCTGGGAGGTTGGAAATGGGATGTTCAGTCAAATAAAAGTCCTCCCTCGTCACTCATCTGTGTTCCTTATTCCTCTCTCATGTGCAGCACCATACGAAGGAGGCGTGTGGAAAGTGCGAGTAGATCTTCCCGATAAATACCCATTCAAATCGCCATCAATAGGTAGGAGTTCTGCTTTTTTTGTTTTATTTTACTTTACCTCTGCTCATTTTTCCATTTTGTCTTTCAGGATTCATGAACAAGATTTTTCATCCCAACATCGATGAAGCGTGAGTTGGTTTTCAAAAAAAGGCGTTGTGTTTTGATGCTTAAGAAAAGTTGGCCTTCAGCTTTAAATACTGTATCATTCATTCATCTGTGACAAAGTGGTTCGATTCAGGCTACTGAATGAATGTGTGTCAGAGGGAGGAGTCGTACAATTTGATACCTAAACAACAACTATAGTTGAGGTGTGATTTGATATGTTCAGCATGTTGTACAAGACAGGTTGAAATAATTTGTTGCTTTTTCTTCGTATGTAGCTCTTTTTAATTTAGGAGAATGTTACAAACAATTGTTATTATAAAGAAATATACCTGACTGATTAAGACGATTTTTGGGGAACTTTGTGAGGGTAATATGTGTGGTAAAGTAAGTCATTATCAGTACTTAAATGACACAAATTGTGTCACACATTAAGTGTAGAACCGTCCAAGGGAAAACACTATTTCCTGGCCCAGAAACACTCCAAAATCGTGTCATAAAAGTGTTTTTTTTACCCATTTCTATGAAACATTGATGAGATGCTTTGTTACAACTACTTGACATAAAAAAGGACAGGATAGTTGACACACACAGTTCTGGTGGCTGTTAATTAATAAAACAAATAGCTAAAACAGCTGCAGTTGTGCTGATTTTATAGATTTTATCTAGATTAGTTTTTTCTGGTTTGTATTTGGAACTCAATAATTTTTTTGCTTTTTTATGTGTTTATTTGTAGCATTGTGTTTTTTAAATTTACTACCATGGCTAAAACCCAGAAAATGCAGCTCTTAATCCCTTTGTCTACAAAGATTTATGCTAAAATTGTGTTTAGACAGTTCTCATCAGAACAATTTAGATTCATCTTCTGAGGAAAACTGCAGGGATGACCTTTTGGCCCCCACAGTTTTTGCCTTACTCATGATGACAGTCCTTATTTAGCTGTTGAAAGATTACGTTTAGACAACTCTGTGCAGTAAAATGGATTCTCCTCTGCTCTCCTAACTCTATTTTATCGGTTATCCAGGTCAGGGACAGTGTGCTTAGATGTCATCAACCAGACGTGGACGGCTCTTTACGGTGAGTGGCCACATACTAGCTGCACGTGCTCAGATGAGCACCGCCCCCACCACACACATTCAGGCCAGCATGATTATGTCAAGAACTTGACACGGTGCCATCAGCTTCGAAAATAAATAACATGGCAACCCTCCCTCAGGCAGAAGTATGAGCACATCAGACAGTGGTGCGCTGCTGGTCCTAATCTACTTACTGAGAGAAAAGTAAACACTAACAAGGTAATGCCCTCACCCAGCAAGGACAGGAAGTGTTCACCTCGGACACAAATGATTTACTGGTTGTCACCTGTAAGCGCTCACATGTTCTGTTAGCCATCCTCTCAAGCGCAGTTGTCCCTTTCACTTCCTGTACTTATTCATTCGTTTCTCATTGTTTCTGCTCTCCGCTCGTACCCACGTGTCAGGATCTGTTTCTGTTTATCTGTCGTCAAGTGGAACTTGATTTTAAAATGAACTGAAGGGTTTTAGATTGCAGAATTATGCGTCTTTTGTTTTGTTCTTCTGCATTTAGTTTTTGTCTTGTTGAGTGTTTTTAAAGAAGGGAATCAGATTGGTTAAATGTCCGAAAGAAAAGGCCAATCAACCAAGAATTGTGCACTGGTTTTCTGCAAAGGGAGAGGGAACAAAAACAACAGATTTTTATCTCCAGTCCTATACAAAAGACAAGGGAGGTATTTGCTTCCACGCCGTTACGGACTCAACAGTGGCACCAAGGAGACACGAAAGGAACTGCACGTTTCTACAAGTCATTTCACAGTCCGGTTCTTTCAGATGAATTTTGAACCATTTCTGCTTTTTTTGCCCAGATCTGACCAACATCTTTGAGTCGTTTCTGCCCCAACTGCTGGCTTACCCAAACCCCATCGACCCCCTGAATGGAGATGCAGCTGCCATGTACCTTCATCGGCCCGAGGAGTACAAACAGAAAATCAAAGGTTCACTATAATTAAAAAATAATAATAATTTAAATGTAGGATTCCCATTTCTTAGAAAGGGATCGGTTTTAGACATTTCTAATCCACTTTTGCCCTTTCTCCTCCACAGAGTACATCCAGAAATATGCAACAGAGGAGGCTCTGAAGGAGCAGGAAGAGGGGGCCGGTGACTCTTCATCTGAAAGCTCCATGTCTGATTTCTCAGAAGACGAAGCCCAGGACATGGAGTTGTAGTAATAGGAGGGCTCCCCCCATCCCAACCCCCACCCTCCTTTAACCCCTCACAAAGACTATATTTGATTTCCTAACTATGAAAAAAAAGCAGACTTATAATATTCATATTTAAACAAGTTGATTTTTTTATTTTTATTTACTACTAAAACAAGGATTTTTATGAATATATATATAGCCTTTGGTGTGTTTGACAGACACCCCCCCCCCCCTCTCTCTGTAGTTGGTAATCCTCGGCACAGTCATCATAGCAATTGCATCCACATTCTCTGCCTGTCATCTCTGCATTGGTTTGACGTTAATTTCCCCAAACATCTAATTGTCTTGACTCGGGCTTCGCCTTTTTTTTTTTTACAACTCTAGTTTCACGGTGAACCAGAACTTTTACGCCGCTGACAACGTTTTGGTAGCTGCTTGCCGAGAACACATTTTTAAGATAGAATCGTTTTTTTTTGTGAAGATTGTGGGTTTTGTGTTACATATTTTAACAAATACATCCTGCAGATCCCTCTCTGCTGCTTACTTTTCCCCCACTTAGGCATCATAGATTCTCAGTTGTATTAAACAGAGAGGAATTTAGGTCTTTTAAATCTTAAATTGTCTATTAGAGAAAAAGGATCTCCTCTAAGTCAATAAACCTATTTTATTTAAAAAGCTCTTTTTTAAGGCACCAATAAACCATGTGTTGTAGCTCACTGAACCTAAAATAAATGCTCATAAACCTACTCTGGATGCTAACTACACATATTTTTCTGCTACATACTGATGGAGACATGTCAGGAAGGATCAGGTTGGTTTGATTTTTACATTATTTTCTTCCTCGTGGAGCCTGAGCTTCATTCTGGGTAAAATATAACCAGAAGACAGAYGCAGTGTTTCTGTTTCCACTCATTTGGCATTACAGTAAAAAGTGCTACATTTAAATAAAATAAACGGCACCAGTTTTAAAGTCGGTGCAAAGAAAACCAAAATGGTATCATGAGTAGATCTGAGTGAAGACAAGTGATTTTTGTCTCTACACACAGGTCCTCCTCACATTCCACTGCTGCTAAAAAAAAAACAAACAAAAAAAAAAACGCCTGCCCCATTTGTCTCGCTCCGACCTGTGGTTTGTGACGTGACTTTTTTCTTTCTTTTGTTGCTGTTTTTTTTGTTTCTTTGTTTGTTTTTTGACTGAACTCACATGTCATCTGCGTCCCCTCCCCTGAAAAAAAAGGCTTTTTTTGGATCACTGGGATTACAGAACCGAGGGAGAATTTTTCAAGTTCAAAACTTCACAGCTACATGGAAACCTCTAACTGCACTCTGTGCACTGGGTCAAAAATCACAATTRCATATTTGAGTTTTTTTTTGCTGATGTTTTTATTACATGTGCTCTTTAAATGTTTCCGGATTGGGG